TTTCGTGAAAATGGACATTTTTCTATTTTTTGAACGAAATTGAAACCAAGTAATTTGACCGAAAACAGGTTCAATTTTTTGGCTCCTGAGGCTCCGGCGTTCTTAAAACTCCTGATCCCCTGGATGTATCTGGTCTCGAGCGAAGTCTATATACATCCAGGGGGTCCGGCGTTTTAATAAGAAAGTCGGACCCGCAGGAACCAAAAAAATGGACCTGTTTTCGGCCAAATTCCTTGTTTTCAATTTCGTTCAAAAAAAAAAAAAAAAGTCCCTTTTCACGAAGAAATGGCACTTCCTCCTAAGGCTTGTCCTCCTCCTAACCTTACCATCGGCTTTCACCTCCTCTCCTCCACAGCTCCATCACGATGACTACCACCACCTCGGAACCTCCTCGCCCTCCTTCTCCCAGCCCTCCTTCTCCCAGCCCTCCTTGTCCTTGTCCTGCTGCTGCTTCTACTTCAGAATCTCCTCCCTCACTCCCTTCTCCTTTCCTTCCCCCTCTTTGACCACTTTCACGGACTCTCCTACTCTCCCTTTTCTCCACAACCACTGCCACCTATTTTTTTCGTCTTTCGCCTCCTCCCCACCCTTTACGTTACCTAAAGACGAAAAAACTAGGTGGGGAGGAGGCGAAAGACGAAAAAACTAGGTGAAGGGTTTCCCTCTCCTCTCTTCTTCCTTCTTCCGTCTTCCGTCTTCCGTCTTCCGTCTTCCTTCTTCCTTCTTCCTTCTTCCGTCTTCCTTCTTCCTTCTTCCTTCTTCCGGCTTCCTTCTTCCTTCTTCCTTCTTCCTTCTGTTGCGGATGCACATCCATCATCAGATCATCTTGACGGCTGGTAATCAACTAGCTCATATCTTGAGGCCTCCTGCGGCAAGGTCCCCCTTGCAGCGATTAAGAGATACGAGGCCAGACTCTGAGATAGCAAAGATCAACGGCGAATATCGCTTGATCCCTGAAAGTGTGACCTCTGAGTCAGCCATGGTAGTGGAATTTCAGGCCAGGGGGGATGGGGGGTGGGCGGGGTTGGGATCGGAGGAGGGAAATGGGGGTCGAAAATTCCAGCGAATCCGAGGAATTTCTGCAGTCTGAGAAGATGCGGGTTCAGAATTGGAGAAGACGGAAGAAGAGAGGAGAGGGAAACCCTTCATTCAAAAATCAAAATTCAAAACCTGAGAACTTGCAGCTCATGTGCAGCTGAAGTGACAATTGTCCATGTTTTTTCCTTTTTTTTTTTTTTTTTTTTTT